AATCTAACGTTTCAAATAAAGAACCGATGAGATTTTGCAAATTTTATTTTTTAAAAAGGTATCAAGCTCTTAAAAAATCACCCGTTAATTTCACCATGTATTTCCCTTTTTTATATTTTTCACTTTTGAATTTTTAATTTTTCCATCTCTACACGCTCCCGCATCTCTATTTCTTTCATTGCAATTTTTTCTTTCGATTCTAATTCTAATAATTTAAGTCTTTCGTAAGTAGCATGTTTCTCCTTCTTTAAATTAAATTCCTTTTCCTTCAGCAGAAGCTCCCTTTCCCTTAATTCTTTTTCCGCAACAAGCTTCTCCTTTTTGAACTCCGCCAATGTGGAATGTACTTCAAGTACATCTGCAAGTGCTGTGCGTGAATAAATCCCTTTACGTGGAACTAGTGAAGTTTGCGCTGTAGTGCGCGGAGTTTCTACCAATGTAGCGCTTTCTTCGACAATTTCATAAAACCCAGCTGGGCTTCGTGAAGTGTCTTCTGTTGGGGCGAGGACAATATTTGGTGATCCGTCATCTACTGAAGCAGTGGAATATTCCATAGTGTTGCTGTCTTCTGAATCAAGTACAAAAGCATTAGCCTGATGTTCCCTATAACCGAATATCTCTTCCAACTCATTATAGAGTGGGCACTCCCTTAGCAGCGTATCTGAAAACATGTAATCAAGAAATTATCAACAACATTTAAAACCTCTATTGTTAATATTGAAACCTACCTCGCGTTGTTTCGCCATCTCGCATAGTCCCAGCCCCGGTGGAATTGTTCCATGTCTTGTTGTAGGTATGCTTCAGATTCTTGACCTTGCTGCGCACCGTTGACCATTCTATCTCAAGCCCATTTTCGCTCAAGAAGCGCTTGTAGTAAAGCTGCGCACTTGGCTTTTCGATTGGCCTATTTTGGCGCAGAAAATTTACCAATTGCTGCTGCTCCCACTCGCTCCATTTTCGATATGGCGCTTTGCGTATACGCTTTTGCTTAACCTGCAAATAATAAAATATTTTTACATTTTTATTTAAAAACCACAAAAATTCACTTACTTTTGCTTTCAACGTTTCTGCTTCCATTTTCCGTCGCAAAATATAATCAGCTGTTTGGTGATGCCAGTTTAACACAAAAGATAAACACATGCCAAAGCAAGGCAATTTTAGCCGTAAATGGTATCTCTAGTTTGTATGCGAAACAAAAACAAACAATGATACCAGATGGCAAATTCTTTTAAAGTTAGTATATGGCAAACTTACCACACCACATAATACGAAACTGTGAGTACCCTAAATGTCAATGATATTATTTTCACAATTATTCTGACATTAACTCACTTTTGGCTTGTGTGCTAATGTCATTGACACTAATTCCAATTGAATTTTTGCACGCCACCAAAAAGCTTTTTTGTTCATAACTTTCAATCGGATAAAGTCGCGTCCACTTTTACCGCCATTCCAAAATTTCGATAATTTTTAGGGTTTCAAAAACCAGCAAGATTATAACCAAACTATGGATACAAACAAACAATTTATAATATTCTTAAAAGTTGCTTCTTATGTTTTATGTGAAATAGATATTACCGCAACGTGAGCTGGAAATAGGATTTTAATGAATGTATGTAAAATTTGCAACACGAGTTCATACCAATATTTCTCCCAAGGAGGTGAAGAAATCAGATTTTTTCGAAACTTTGGAGTCTAAAAAAGCACATTTTTTACCTGAGTTGAGAAAAAGAATAATCATCATCACATATCCGAAATCATATGACTGATTGCAATTTTATATATAGGGATGTATACACATACGACTTTTGCTTTGCTGTTATAAAACTTGTTTAGGAAAAAACACGCACAGTTTCACCACTAATCTTTAAGGTAGTTTGGATACTCCTGTCGCTATGTCAATTGAGAAACTTCTCGTATTCTTTATCCTGGAAGTGGCCCCCACTTTTTAACCGGTCCAAGGCCCCACACATCTTTTATCCGGTCCGTGTTATCACAAAGAATCAAATTTTCTATAAACATTAAAATGACACCAATAAAATTAATTTAAAGGTGAGTAACACAAAAGCACATGGTTATGGAAATTTTAATTAAAATAAATAAAGTTAGTTCTAGATATTGGACTAAATCGTTTTACGAGTTTTTGGTTGTGTACTACTTCCGAAAGGTAAACGGGGTCAAGGGTAAAATTAAAAATGAACTTTAACATTTTTTTTAATAAATCTCGATAGGTAGCAAGTTTTGCCCTAAGTAGCATCATCTTCGTTTTGTGAAAAATATTAAAACCTTTTTCAGGCCTTGATGATAGGAACACCCTTTGGTGACAGCGACACATGCCTTTGCTTGCTTTTGTTTGGATTACTCCTTCATGCTCGTCTCTGTGTTGTAGTTTTGTGTTTGGCAAAAACCGCACACAAAATAAATTCCAGTTTTATGGCAAACGCAGAAAATTGTTGGTGAGCTACCAGCAAGCGGTTGTTAGACGTCATGAAGGATGGCAGCAAGCGGAAGCGGTTAAACGGAAAAAGCGGCAAAGTGGCAAAATGCAAAGCGATGGATGATGATGATGACAGTAGTTGTGCACCGCAGAGGCGATAGAAGTGTAAAGTTGTACACCAGCAGTACCAGCGCAGCAACAATAATAATAGCAACAACATTATCACCGAAAAAAATGAAGTGCAAAGCATATATTCAACTAACACCGCTTGTCTACATACATACATACATACATATCGACTAAGCAAACAAACAAAGACAAGTTAGCGTAAAGGCGTTAGAAATGGTGGCGGGGCGAGCGGAAATACTTGTATGGCTTGGTGTGGGTGCTAAAAAGGAATTAGGTCTGTCCGATGAATGCAGTAGAGTCCTCTAATATAGGAAAAAGCGTTCGTTGAGACTTTTTCTTGCACTACATGTCAGATGTTGTTCAGAACTGCACTGTTCTACACTTCTCGTGCACTCATCGAACACACCTTTTGTAAGGAAACTGCAAACAAATCCTCATACACACAAATGACGTAAGCTTTCAGCTGCTGTAAACAAGTTAAAAGGCTGCCGAAACCGCCGGCTGTGTGGTGGTAAGTGAGAATAAAAACAAGAAAAAAATTTAGCTAACTTTTGGAATTGAATGCGCAAAACTGCGAATGCTTAGACGTAGGTGGAACAGGGAATATATGTTACTTGGTAGCGAGGCAATGGCGTATCATCAGCTCAGCGTATGAAGTATAAACATTAGGGCGGGTCAATTTGTGTGCGAGATTTTTTCGA